GATCTCGGATCTCATCAAACGCGTTTTGATTTCTTCTTTGCATTAGAAGAATCTTTTCAAAGTCTCTGCTCAAAATTGTAAACTTTCTTCCGATTTTGATTCTCTTCCGATTCGGTTTTGGTTTTTCTGCGGATTTGAACGATACCCATTTGGTGATTCGATCTGGGTTTGTGGAAAAATGTTAAATTTCCATGGAATTTGGATCAATGTTTCATTAGTTTTATAGAAAGAATCCAAATTTGAGTAGCAGTGTTGTTGTTATTGAAAAGCTTCTTCTTTTGCATGAAGGAGATTAAAAAGGTTAGATCTTTGTATATGGTAATTGCTCTGAGAATCTTGAAAATGCGGTTGAATCATTAAGAAACAATGAGTAGTTTCACAAAGAGTACATCTTTCAATAGAAGAGCGTTGAGTTCTTTAGCTATAGAAAGTCCTAGAAGCTCATCAAGTGCATTCAATAGTCCTATTGGTTCAGCTTTCTCAAGCCCTAGAACACATAACTTTGGAGGAAGTCCAAGACCGTCGTCTACGAATCGGTTAAAAGAGATTTCGTATTTGTTTCAGGCGCTTATTATTGCCGGAACTATTGTTTCGTTTCTTGTTATCATTGCTGGTGGTTATTTGTATGTTGTTCCTAGCCTTGGTCAAACGTTCTTGGGTTATAATGGAGCATTGCAGTTTAATAGCTCTGTTATGGATGATAAGGAATGCGATGTTTTCAATGGGAATTGGGTCGTTGATGATAACTATCCGGTGTATAATGCTTCCGAGTGTCCGTTTTTAGAGAAAGGGTTCAATTGTTTAGGAAACGGGCGTGGAAGCGATGAGTATTTGAAGTGGAGGTGGAAGCCTAAGCATTGTAATGTTCCGAGATTCGAAGTTCGTGATGTGTTGGAGAGGTTAAGAGGTAAAAGGATAGTTTTTGTGGGAGATTCGATGAGTAGAACGCAGTGGGAGTCTTTGATATGTATGTTAATTACGGGTTTGGAAGATAAGAGTAGTGTTTATGAAGTCAATGGGAATAATATAACGAAAAGGATACGGTTTTTGGGTGTGAGGTTTAGTTCCTTCAATTTTACTATTGAGTTCTACCGTTCGGTTTTCTTGGTTCAGCCTGGGAAGCTGCATTGGCATGCGCCAAAACGTGTTAAGTCGACTTTAAAGTTAGATGTTTTAGATGTTATTAACCACGAATGGAGCTCAGCGGATTATCTCATATTCAATACCGGTCAATGGTGGGTGCCTGGGAAGCTTTTCGAAACGTAAGCTGTCTTTAAAACTATATTGGATTTTAGAATGTTTTTGAATGAACTTCTCTCCCGTTTCTTATCGTGTCGGAACATCAGTGGTTGTTACTTTCAGGTAGGAAACTCATTGAGGCTCGGAATGTCAATTCCTGCAGCGTATAGAGTAGCATTAGAGACATGGGGATCATGGATACAGAATTCAATTGATCCTAACAAAACCCGTGTTTTGTTTCGTACATTTGAGCCATCGCATTGGAGGTACAAACCGAAATTCCTTCCTTAGCTTTACCCGTTCTTGTTCTGCTTTTTCTTGCGGTATTCGTTACTATAAGTTTCTTGTTCTTGTTGTTGTAGTTTTAGTGGACATAGATCATGCAATGTGACAAAGTATCCAACCCCAGATACTCAAGGAAGAGACAGAAGCATATTCTCTGAAATGATCAAAGAAGTAGTTAAGAACATGACAATACCGGTAACAATATTGGATGTAACTTCGATGTCAGCATTTAGAAGCGATGGTCATGTCGGTTTATGGAGCGATAATCCGTTGGTACCTGATTGCAGTCATTGGTGTCTACCTGGAGTTCCTGATATTTGGAATGAAATCTTACTCTTCTTCCTCTTTAGACAACAAGTAAAAACTTTTAACTTGCTTTCTCTCTAACACAACAGTTTCAACATTCTCTTATGTCTGAAATTTTCTTTACTTAACTTGCAGGTTCAGTAAAATGGATACTTGCAGGTTTTTTTTGCAACATAACAATAGAAACAAAAGAAGAGACTGAACGATTAACGACCCTCGAAGACAGAATCTCTTAGAGCTAATTGCTCCTGTTTGTTCTGGAAAAGGGGTCACAATTTTTTTTGGTAAAACTAAAACTGATTCTTAATTCA